TGTTTGTTTGTTTCGTTTATTTTTTACGTGATTGGGTATTCTTTGCAAAGTAACATTTCACCACATTCACTAAGCTCTGGGGAACATTCCCTGGGACTGTGCAACCTCCTTTGGAAAGAGAACAGCCTATTTGCCTTTGGTAAATCAACCCTTCTCTCCCAACCTCTACTTCTTTCAGGCAAGATATTTCCTCTTTGTTTTCCAACATGGGCCCTGTACTGATGCTCATGTTTCTAGTTCTACCAACTTGAGGTGACTCAAGCAGAGCATCATCCAAACTCATGGTCTATGGTTCAGGTTCCATCCTTTCTGACAAGACGCAGTATACTAAATATATGAATGCTTCCTGAGCTTATTGGATTAGGCAATTTTTCCTAGGATCTGCAAAGTTGCCACCTGGGTTTTCATCCTCACTTTCTCTAAGTTCTACCAGTTGTATATTTGACCTCATCTGAAGCCAGCTTTGGGCATAAGACCCCTTGAACAGGCTCTCTGAGCTGAAGGCAGCTCACAGCTTTGCTGTTGTTGTGCTTTGGGCCTTTTGGTGTTTGTTTACTGTTTGCCTAACTTTCAGTTGGATTGTTTTTGGACATCCTTAAGTTAAATATTCCCTAAATGTGTCTAGATCAAGGGAGGAACACTTGTTAACAATAGTCATTTAGGTAGTTAGACCAGCTATACCTAGTTGCTTAAAAACTAACAAGGGTAAAAGGCATCACCGCACAGTCACCTTATGGTTCCGAAATTTAAATCAAATAGCCTACTATATGGCTGAGCTGAAGCTATCCCAAATATATACTGCACATTCAACCAGAAGCATCTCAACATCCCGGGCACCCTGTGTAGGGGTGTCAGCAGAATTGATAGGCAGGGCAGGCAACTGATCTTCTTGGCATGCTCGGTAAAAAAATTTAAATGGACTCAGCAATACTCAGTCCAGCTGATTTTGGCAGAAAGGCTATAGCTGTCTCACTTTCTTATAAAATATGATTTGATTAAGCTTTCTAACCTGATAGCTAGTTTGATCTAACACACATATGCTTCCATGTTGGCACCAGCAAATTTAAAAATTGCAGCATACTTAACTCATCATTTTTCTTTCCTGGCACCATTCCATGGCAGAATACCAATACCATATAATTTGTTCCTAGTGTTTTTATATAGGGAATAAGCAACATTTTCTAGCTTTTCTATAATGCTGTGGGTGAAAGCAAGCAGGGCTACTGCCTCATGTATGATTTTGGAATGAATGTAATTTCCCACAAAAGCTACATTCGCTTTTCATTTTTCATTTTCGCTTTTAAATTCATTTGTTCAAGGAAAAAAAATTCCAACCTCCTCCTTTTCTTTTCCCTATGGTCAAAAAGGAATGTCAATTTGACTTCGCTAACAATTAGAAAAGCAAACAAATGAAACAGTAATACAAAGTTACTGGTGTATGGCCAGCTCAAGGCTAGCATTGAATAGAAGACACCTGAGGTGCAACAACATATTACACCTTCAGTTTGCTGCTTCTCGCTACTCTAGAAAAAAGTATGGGTAAATTGTGCACATGTTCCCCCACGGGTTATATTTGGTATCTTAGCCACCTATGTTGTGCCATTTAGGCACTGAGAGAGTTGTTCTCAGGCAGAGGCGGACTGACAACTCATGGGGCCCCCGGGCAATAGGGGATCATGGGGCCCCTGTGTCCTTGCCCAAACTCAAAAAACACTATGAAAAAGGTACCAGGGGCATCTCATGGGGCCCCCTACTGACCCCGGGCCCTCGGGCAGTGCCCGAGTTTCCAAATGGTCAGTCCGCCCCTGTTCTCAGGGCTAGGAAAATACAAACTTTCAATAAATTTGTAATTTCAGAGCAACTTAAGGACTTCACCAGTGTTCTTGAAGGGTTGATATGACAAACTAAGTGGCACCTTATGTGCCTCCTAGTTAGCACTAATTTTAGTTTTAGACTGCACAAAAACGACCATTCTCAGTCAACTCATATGGCCCAAATTCTTCTCTCTCTTGGCAGGAAAATGAATTAGTATGTATACAACTAGAATCAGGATATTTTATAATATAAAAATATTTCTAAAGCCACAACCTTTCTTTTTCCATTATTAGATAGTATAGGGCTTGGTTAGAACCCTTGCCAACCTTGTCTATGTCTGGTTTGTAGATTTACATTCACTGTTAGCTTTCATCTGAACAGGTGTCCCCACTGGAAGATTTTCCCTTACTTTCTGATGCACTGACAACTCTTAAATTTTTAATTTCTCATTGCTTTCTGTTCCAGAGTCAACAGTCACCAAAACTAATAAAGTGAATCCCTCGAGTAAAAACACCTTTAGCAATTAACACCTGATGGGATTCTAAATATTCCCTACTATATGCAAAGTTGCCCAGGCCAATTTTCAGCCTTCAGCACTGTCATACTTTGAATGACAATTGAGCTGTCATGCAACACTGTACCCAAATTCAATTATAATTTTTTTCACACAAATAGAGCTTTCTTTTGGTGGTATTTAATTGTCACTGTTTTACATTTTTTGCTAAATAAATGAATAAAATCTAAAATTAAAAAAAAAAAAAAACCTGTTGTTCTTTGTTTCTGTTATAAAAATTAAAAAAAATTGCTCTTCATAAATTTAAGACAAAATGTATTTTGCTACATTTCTTTGGTGAAAATAACCCAAATCAGTGTTTATTATTATTTAGTCTGTAGGAAAGTTATAGAGTCCATAAACTATGGTATATATCTGAAAATTGATCAATCTTGATGTACTGACAGTCTATATAATTTATTAAGGCCCTAAAATGTCAGGACAGTACAGATATCCCCCAAATGACCCTTTTTTTGGAAAATAGACAAGGTAATTAGTAAGTGGCATGGCGAGTTTTTTGAAGTTGTAATTTTTTTGTAAAATTTATTTGCAAAATTAAAAAATTAAAAAAAAACATTTTTTTTTTTTACATACTGTCACCAATGCAGTACAGCATCATCATGGTATATATTTTGTGATCAGGGACACTGACTGATGACAGAATGAAAAAAAAAAGTGTTTTTGTTTTCAATTTTTTTTCAAATTTTTTTTTAACACACTGTGACCAGAGCAATACAATATTACCATAGTAACATTGTACTACTCTGGGGAAGTGATCAAGATTTTTTTTACATATTACGATTGCTTATAGCAGTGAATTTCATTGCTATAAGCAAGCATTTTTTGCTGAATGAAATTGATTAATTCAGTATGTGTCGTTGTGATTAGCTGTGATTGACCACATCTAAACACATGCTACAGATGGGCTGTGATTGGCCCTGTCTGTACCATACGATCACTGTGACCTCTCCCAGCTAGCAACACAAGTTTACACAATAAATGGCATGAATTCAAGCCATTCAATTTTTACCATTGTCATGTGATCTGCTGCAATTAGTCACAGCAATCACATGGTACCAGCAGAGGGCGGGTACAGCGATCTGTCATCGGTTGTGTTAGCTGGACAAAGCCGGTGACAGATCGAACACGGCTGCACACAAGGCTTGTCCCGGGGGACATCATATGACGCCCACCCGGAACAAGGAAAGTAGTTAACAGTCTGAACAATGCAGCCTATAAGAGGTAGGCTTATCTGCACTCAGACATGTCATAAAATACATAAAGTATATTTAGCAGCTGTTGATAGAGTTCAAAGCACCTTTCCTAATAGAAACAAAACTTATTGAATATGCAGTCACTACCAAAAGGACATTTACAGGGCTTTACTTCATGAAACAGGTAGGATGCCGGAACTATATTCCACTTGCTTGCTCTACTTTTTTATTGAATGCTGAATAAAAGTTTTATTGGAAGCTACTGAACTTCTAGTGACTCCTGCATATCCAGTAAGTGCTGTTTCTCTTAAGAATGGAGAGTCAACTCCACATTCCAGAAAAATGACAATATGAAAAAAATGACAATAAAATGTAATGGTAACAAATTTACTTCAAGGTCAAAGTGTTTTTTATTCAAACGATTATTTAAACATTCTTGAAAGACGAAGCATATTGTTGTAAAAAGCATAGAAAACTTGTAAAAGCTATAATCTTTTAATAGCTTTATCTCTCTTACACTGTGTATATATATATATATATATATATACCTAAATATACACACCAATCAGCCATAACTTCATAACCACCCACCAAATATTGAGTAGGCCCCCATTTTGCCACCAAAACAGCCCTGATCTGTTGAGGAATGAACGCCACTAAACCTCTGAAGGTATGCTGTGGTATCTGGCACCAAGCCATCACTAGCAGATCCATTAAGTCCTTTAAGTTGCAAGGTGGGGTCTCCATGGATCAGACTTGTTTTTCCAGCACATCCCACTGATGCTCAATTGGACTGAGATCTGGAGAATTTTGTGGCCAAATCTACACTTCATAGTGATTGAAGTGTTCTTCAAACCATTCTTGAACCATTGTTGGAGTGTGTCAGGGGGTGTTATCCTTCTAAAAAAGGCCACTGGGAATACCAATTCCATGAAGGAGTGTAATTGGTCAGCAACAATTTTTAGGAAGGTGGTATGTGTCAAAGTAACATCCACATAAATAGCAGGACCCAAGGTTTGCCAGCAGAACATTGCCCAAAGCAGCACACTGCCTCCGCTGGCTTGCCTTCTTCCTGGTGCATCTTGGTGCCCTCTCTTTCCCAGGTAAGCGACGCACACGCACGCACGGCACTCCACGTGATGTAAGAGAAATGATTCAGCAGACCAAGCCACATTCTTCTATTGCTCCATGGTCCAGTTTTGATGCTCATGTGCCCAATGTAGGCACTATTAGCTGTGGACATGGGTCAGCATGGGCACTCTGATCAGTCTGTGACTATACAGCTGCCTAATGAGATAATCAAGGTTATTCACTTAACCTGTCAGAGGTCATAAAGCTATAACTATATATACTATATTGCCAAAAGTATTGGGACATCACCTCCATGGCCACAGGTGTATAAAATCAAGCACCTAGACATGCAGACTGCTTCTACATACATTTGTGAAAGAATGGGTCGCTTGAAGGAGCTCAGTGAATTCAAGCTTGGTGATAAGTTGCCACCTGTGCAATAAGTCCATCCGTGAAATGTTCTTGCTACTAAATATTCCACAGTCAACTGTTAGTGGTATTATATCAAAGTGGAAGCAACTGGGAACAACAGCAACTCAGCCACCAAGTGGTAGGCCACGTAAAATGACAGAGCGGGGGTCAAGCGCATGCTTACGCGCAGAGTGCGTAGAAGTCGCCAACTGTCTGCAGAGTCAATAGCTAAAGACCTCCAAACTTCATGTGGCCTTCAGATTAGCACAACAGTAGTGCGTAGAGAGCTTCATGGAATGGGTTTCCATGGCCGAGCAGCTGCATCCAAACTTACATCACCAAGTGCAATGCAAAGCGTCAGATGCAGTGGTGTAAAGCACGCCACCGCTTGACTCTAGAGCAGTGAAGACATGTTCTCTGGAGTGACGAATCATCCTTCTCTGTCTGGCAATCTGAGGGATGTGTCTGGTTTTGTGGTTTCCAGAACGGTACTTGCCTGACTACATTGTGCCAAGTGTAAAGTTTGGTGTAGGGGGGAATTTATGGTGTGGGGTTGTTTTTCAGGGTTTGGTCTTGGTTCCTTAGTTCCAGTGAAGAATACTCTTAATACGTCAGTATACCAAGACATTTTCATGCTCCCAACATGTGGGAAGTTTTTGGGGATGGCCCCTTCTATTCCAACATGACTGCGCATCAGTGCACAAAGCAAGAAAAAAAAATAATTAAGACATGGATGAGTGAGTTTGATATGGAGGAACTTGACTGGCCTGCACAGAGCCCTGACCTCAACCTGATACAACACTTTTGGGATGAATTAGAGCAGAGACTGTGAGCCAGGCCTTCTCGTCCGACATCAGTGCCTGACCTCACAATTGTGCGTGTATATACAGTACAGTACACTGTGACAAACAGACAGGGAAGAGTTGTGAATGGATGTAGATGTGTATTTGCAATATAGGTTTTGGCATTTCATATGATAAACTGGTGGTAGTAAAGAATTGTGGAAGTATAAAAGTGGTTAAGCACTGGCCACACCTTGTTTCATAATTTGTCTTTTCCTTAGAATGATCTGTGTTGTTGGCGAAGGATGTATGCATACTGTGATGGAACATGCATGCAGGTCTTGATACTAGCCAGGAGGTTAAATAACGTTTGGATTTTGGACTCTGCCTTCGAGGAAACATCTTGTTTTGGTCATGTTTTCAGCAATACTCATAAATAAATGTGGGCAGGAAGCCCTTAAACACACTTTGGCATTTGGATTACCGCTCTGCACAATCTCCATTTGAAGCTGAACTCCACAATTTCTGCATAGGGCTTTCTATGTCAAAACGATGACAAAATAACAATTTGCAAACTTGGGCAGAGCTTAGTCAAGAAGTAAGGGAAGACTTATGCCGCCCATAGACGGGTCAAACATCAGCCGATGAGGTAAGAGGAAAAAAAGGAAAAATAAGAAAGAAGAATTCCAGTCCACTATTATATTTTATGAATGAAAAACTCTTGCAGTTGCAACAAATGTATAAATTTGTATCCAAATAAAAACATCTGTATCCAAATAAAAACATTGTAATACATTTTCTTTGTATTTCATAGTTTTTATTTGGATACAAATGGATACATTTGTTGCAACCACAAGACTTTTTCATATGAAAATATAATAGCGGACTGGAATTCTTCTTATTCTTTTTCTTCTTCTTGCAAGTCACGGCTCATGCGCAGATTTTTTTATCAGTAAAACGATCCCGATTTGACCATAATTGCCAGGAAAATTGGCCGCAAATTTTCCAACATGCCCAATAAAAAAAAATGTGCAAAAACCCCGAAAAATGGCCGACCAATTAACCCACTAACGGTGCAATTATTTTTTTTGGCCGAAAAATCGGCCAATTTTCGACCCGTCTATGGCCGACATAAACAATGAAAAAGTGAAACTAAATCAGAGAGGTGAACTGATTTAGATAGTCTGGCAGAAAAGGGTAATGGGAGGCACCTGTGGAGGAACTGTTAACCAGTTGCCACCCACCCAAAGTAGATTTACTGTAGGCAGGTGGCACGGGCAGGCTGGATCATGTACGGTACATGTACATCATTTAGCCGAGGGTCCATGGCATGCCGCTCCCGCAAGTGCTGTGTCCACTGGACACAGCTGATTGCAGCTCCTGTTACTCGGCCACTGCGAGCAGGCAGGGGATCATATATGGTGACACTGAACTACTGAAAAGAAACTTAAAAAAAAAAAAGGTGAAAAATTTAAACAATGTTTTAAAAATTTAATTAAAATTTATTTATTTTTAAAATACTACCCCAGTCAGTATCCCTGATCACTGCCATATCAGTCATATGATGATGCTGTACTACACTGGTGGCAGTATGTTAACAAAAAAAATTGTGAAAATTTGCATTCAATTTCTTTATTTTCCAAAACACTGTGGCAAAAAAAATTACAACTTCACAAAATTCTCAGTGCCTCTTACTAAATACCCCAACGGTCTACTTTCCAAAAAGGGGTAATTTGGGGGGTATTTGTACTGTCCTGGCATTTTAAGGACCTCAGAAAATGAGATAGGCTTTCAGTACATCAGGAATGATCAACTTTCAAATGAAAAAAAATTTTTTTGCCTAAATTTATGATTTCATTGAAACAGTTTTATAATATAATAATATAAGGCCGTTTTATTACTGGTATAAATATAAGTATCATTTTTATATTAACTCATTATTTGTACATATTAAATCAATATTAATATTTTAAACACTTGTTCTTAAAGTATCACTACACAACCCCCAGCTTAGTCACTACGAGTCTAGCTGTACATATTAACCAATTCACTACCGGGCAATTTTACATCTTCCTGCCCAGGCCAGTTTTCACGTTTCAGCGCTCTCACATTTTGAATGACAATTGTGCGGTCATACAACACTGTACCCAAACTAAAATTTTATCATTTTCTTCACACAACTAGAGCTTTCTTTTGGTGGTATTTAATCATCGCCAGGGTTTTTATTTTTTTGCTAAATTAACAAAAAAAGACTGAAAATTTTGAAAAAAAAAAACATGTTTTTCTTTGTTTCTGTTATAAAAGTTTGCAAATAAATAATTGTTCTTCATAAATTTAGGCCGAGATGTATTCTGCTACATGTCTTTATTTGAAAATAACCCAAATTAGGATGTATTATTTAGTCTGTAGGAAAGTTATAGAGTTCACAAACTATGGTATAGATCTGAATATTGATCAATCCTGAAGTACTGACAGCCAATCTAATTTCTTGAGGTCCAAGAATGTCAGGACAGTACAGATATCCCCCAAATAACCCCTTTTTGCAGAGCAGACAGTCCGACGTACTTCATAAGAGGCATGGCGAGTTTTTTTGAAGTTGTATTTTTTTTGTCATAATTTTTCGGAAAATGAAAAAATAAAAAAAATAATTTTCACTATTTTTTTTTTTGCATACTGTCACCAGTGCAGTACAGCATCATCATATAACTGGCATGGCGGTGATCAGGGACACTGACTGGTGACAGTGTGAAAAAAATATATTTTTTTAAAATTTATTTTTTTAATTTTTTTTATTATTTTACATTTTTTATTAAAGTTTTTTTTTTTTTTAAGATTTTTTTCATATTTTCACTATGTCCAAAGTAGTACAATGTTACCATAGTAACATTGTACTACTTTGGGGAAGTGATCAGTATTTTTTTTTTTTTACACAATTTGCTTATAGCAAAGAATTACTTTGCTATAAGCAAGCATTTACCTGAATGACATCGATTCATTCAGGGTTTTTTTTTTTTTGTGCTTAGCTCTGATTTGGCCACAGCTAATCACATGACATGTGATTAGCTGTGACCATTCACAGCTAGACACTAGTATACAATGGATGGCATGAATGAAGCCATCCATTGTATTCAACTGTCATGTGACCTGCTGTGATTGGTCACAGCAGGTCACATGGTACCGGCAACGGGGGCGATACTCAGATCTGTCATCGGCCGTGTCCGAGGTACACGGCCGGTGACAGATCGCGCCGCTGCACGGCTCTGCAAGCGCGCAAACTGCGCATGTGTGGGAGTACGCCAAATGGCGGCCTCCCGGAAAGCTAGTGCATTTTTTCCGGCCGCCAAACGGCTATTGGCCGGGCCTCAAATGGTTAAAAAACAACAACCTATTAACCATACATATCTATTGATCCAATCTCACTTCAATTTAATATACTCATGTACTTTTCCTCCTTTGAATAAAGGTGACCTCACCAATAATAATTGGCCACGACAACAAAAAAGGGGGTGGGTGAGAGGAGAGCACCATAGAGATGCCTCCCAGGTGTCTGCTCCCCTATGATCGGAACCCCCCTCCCCTTTTATAGCCCTCTCATCTCTCCTAGTCCTCTTTTGATTGGCCAATTTGCCTTCCAGGTGTGTCCCAGGTGCAGTGGAGGGCTTAAAACTCCCATTTTCTAGAATCGTCCCCCTTATATTAATATCTATTTGGGGGCCTGAAACTTTTAATGGTTTTTATTCAACCTCATACCAAAGGGGGGGGGGATTATTAAAACCTGCTGACCTTGTGGAAGTTTCTCCACTGTATATATACAGCGCGGTGACTTAAAACTTTTCTCCTGCCACAGTCCCATAAGAAAATGGGGGCCCTATATTAAAATCCCCCTTTTATTTTCCTATTCAAACGTCTACAAAGTAGATGCAACATAAAAACATAGAAAAAGACCAAGTGGTCCATCGAGTCTGCCTGTTTTTGTCGGGGGTTTGTTAACTCTTTTGTCTGAGTATAGATCTATGTTTGTCCCAAGCATGTTTGAAGCTATTTACTAATTAATTGGATCACTACCTCTGCTAAAAGTTTATTCCAAGCACCAACTACTCTCTCAGTAAAATAGTACTTTCTGAGATTAGTTTTGAACTTTCCTCCAGTTAGTTTAACCTCTTGGCGCTGGCCAAATGCAAATGTGCGGCCTCGCGGCGTCTGGGCCTAGACGCCGAGTGGCTGCACATTTGCGTTCTATTAAACAAAAACATATGTGCTGAGAGCGCGCGCCCTGCACGCTTCCAGCACACACATGCGGTACTCACGGATAGGTCCTGATCTCTTTCGGTAACAGCGAATCATGGCGGTCACATGACCCTAAAACCCCGCCCCCTGGCTTCTGGAACCCCTAAAGGGCCGGGAGGCACCAGCGCCACGGGGTTAAGGTCATGTCCCCATGTTCTTGATTTTGGTTTCATGTTTAAGTACTGCCCTCCTGAACCTTATTCACCCCCCTTGATGTATTTAAAGATTTTAACCTTGTCTCCCCTTTCCCTTCTTTCCTGCAGACTGCACTTGCTAAGTTCCTGAAGTCACTCTTGATATGTTTTACACCACAGACCTTTCACCATTTTTGTTCTATCTTATCAAAATCTTTTCTATATCATTCTATCTTATCAAAATCTTTTTGTAAGTGAGGTCTCCAGAACTGGAACCAGTATTCTAAATGAGGTCTCATTAAAGATCTATATAGGGGAATCAGGACCTCCTTCCTCCTGCTGGTGACCTCTCTAGTGATGCATCCTAGAATTCTATTTGCTTTCCCCACTGTTTGCTCATTTTGCAATCATATGAAATAAGTACCCCCAAGTCCTTTTTTTTCCTCTGAAGTGCTGGCTGGCCAACACTGTACCCCCAATGTTGTACTCTCTCCAGGGATTCTTTTTCCCTAGGTGCATCATTTACATTTAGAAACATTGAATTGCAATTTCTACTTTTTTGACCAATCTTCCATCAATGCCAAATCATGTTCCATGTTACAGACACCGCCTGGGATATCAACCCTATTGCACACCTTTGTGTCATCAACAAAAAGACATACCTTACCCAACAGACCTTTAGTTATATCACTTGCATATAGATTAAATAGAACAGGTCACCACTAGTGACTGGTCTCTGTTCCATAGTGTCTCCACCCAAAAACCATCATCTCCTTAATGCATCTGACCAAAAATGGCTTGATCACAGGGATCCTTGTGAGTTTAAAGTGCAGGTCTCATTCCTCTATTTCTTTAAAGACTATGGTGGAGATTTACGAAAACTGGTGTACACAGAATATCTGAAGCTGTGCATAGTAACCAATCAGATTCCAGGTTTTATTGTCAAAGTGTAATTGAAAAAGTTGAAGTTAGGAGTTGATTGACTCCCATGCACAGCTGCACCAGATTCTCTGTGCACCAGTTTTAGTAAATCTCCCCCCCTACGTTTGTGGTGATTGTAGTCTAAAGCCAAAATTGCTTACCTTACTTTTTGCTCTGATAGGCTTCCTTCTCATCAGTGGCTGCTCAACCAAAGCAGCTCCTCTTTGTTGGTTATACAGTCCACCGCCTCAACAACTAGTGGCCCTGCTTTGTCAATGAAGATGTTGAGGGTCCTTCCACATTCCAGGGCTGGAGTCGGACCAGTGAAGACCACCAACTGTCAGCATAAGGCCTTATGTACGCTGACTTTTTTTTCAACTCCCCCAGAAGTCCCCTCCTGGCAGCAGTGTTTTGGCAAAAAAAGCCTAATGCTTGTAAAAGTGTGTACCCCACGCGTTTACCTGCATCAAGCGTTTTAGCCTTAATTTTTTTATTAATTTTATTGGACAGAATAAATAATTTATTCTGACCATTGGCATAAATTAACACTCAAGCACTGAACACGCCTAGTGTTTAGGCGAGTTTACACAAGTTTAAGTAGTTCTCTGCCAAAAAGCCGCTGCTCCAGGACGCACTGGCAGTGGGTTTTTTTCCTGCCACTAACTTCTCCTGTCACAAAACACTGCTAAAAGCCTATTTGGGCGTGGACACATGCAATATGCAGGAGATCATAGAAATAGTGCAGCGCTTAAAAATGATAGTCCTTGTTCCTGATCAGTAAATGTTCCTCACAATCGGAATAGAAGAAGTGCCCACTCACCAGAACCACACTTGGTGTGTTGCAGAAAATTAAAATTGATTCCTGGTTTCCCTGAAGAAAAGCCTCTGGATCAGCACATGGATGGATATCCCTCTTATGGTCAAGCAAGCGCAGGATCATAGAAAATTAGGCTCCGGCACAGAGTTCCCCTTAAGGGATATGTGGGTGTTGCTCTATAGTAGTAGTAGGAACCTCCCTCTCTGGTTATACTCGGAGCAGTACTGCTTCTGAAAAAAATGTGCTCCCCATCCGGGGTCAGAACAAAAGAGTGCCCATAGTGTAGTATGGTTTGAAAGAAATTAAACATTTATTCTAATTCGCAGGATGCATCCACAATGTATCAAAATCAGAATGGCAGATAGCAATAGTACACTGACCGTCCCTGAAATGAGATAGCTCCACGATACTCTGACGGCGTGATGTCAATAGCGCGAGCAGGCTCCTCCTTACGCGTTACGTGCCACGCACATCATCAGAGGATTGAGCCGGTTTGTTTGTTTGTTTGTTAATATGCAGGAGAGTTTAGAGGCAGTAAAATAAAAAACCATTTGACGCTACTAGGAGTGTGCATGAGACTAAGGAATAAGGTATTTTTCTATGGTATATCTCCGTTAGAAAAAAAATAGCATTTAACCTTATAGCTTTAGGGGATACCAAAATAAGATTTTTTTTTCCAGCTAACTAGAGTTCAGCTTTAATGTTTAAAATAGCTGACAGATTGACCTTAATTCTCAGTCTCACTAGGTGTAACTAAGTACTTAGTAAAAGAAAGGTCAAAAACTTGCTTTTACTGGAAATCTCAAATGAAGCATTCTGAAATGTTAACAAATGACTACCTGCATATAAATGGAAGGCGCGGCTCTATAAGCCTTTAAAATATCCATTTTGTCCTGGTAATTTAGTATATAAAATAGCTGAACCAGACTGTTAAAAGGGGGCTGTTCAATAGGCTATTTCAGTAACTGTACTCTTCCTCTTTCTTTAGAATTAGAAAAATCTGCCATAAAGCATTCCCATGCTTATCACTCTTATTTTTGGGGCCATCATGCATAATGAAAGGGAGAAAAAAAAAACTTTTTTCCCTAAAACTGAAGCTGAATAAAAAAAAAAAAGAAAAATGAAATCCACATATGCCCTGTATATTGACAAGTAACTGTTGAAATAAGAAAAAAAACCATATGTCTGGAACATCTTTTATTAGAGTTATATTTATTTGCCCAAATTACAGGTTACATCTCTTTAACAGAACTCAGCCACATAGAAACCTTGTTCCTAAAATAAGTCGTACCAATAGACTGCTATTATGGAACTGTGCCAAATGTATTTTTCACTACTTAATTGGAGCAGCTCTGTCACTAGGAGTCTGATCCACAGAGCATTTGTTGTGTTACCAAACTGACAAACCTTATATTTAGAAACGTCAGATAGATATATACATTTTAATAGACTTCTGTTTTTCTTTACACACCATTAGTGTAGTCACCCAATATGTGGCTTTATATTGGACAGCTTTACAAGTTGACAGATGCACTATATTGCCAAAAGTATTGGGACACCCCTCCAAATCATTGGATTCAGATGGTCCAATCACCTCCATGGCCACATGTGTATAAAATCAAGCACCTAGGCATGCAGACTGCTTCTACAAACATTTGTGAAAGAATGGGTCGCTCTCAGGAGCTCAGTGAATTCAAACGTGGTAGTGTGATAGGTTGCTACCTGTGCAATAAGTCCATCCATGATATTTCCTTGCTACTAAATATTCCATGGTTAAGTGTTAGTGGTATTAAAATGGAAGCAACTGGGAACAACAGCCACAAAGTGGTAGGCCATGTAAACTGACAGAGCGAGGTCAGTGCATGCTGAAGAAGTGCACAGTGCACAGAAGTCGCCAACTGTCTGCAGTGTCTTCCAAACTAAATATTAACACTTCATGTGGCCTTCAGATTACAACAGTACATAGAGAGCTTCATGGAATGGGTTTCCATAGCCGAGCAGCTACATCCAAGTGTTACATCACCAAGTACAATGCAAAGCGTCAGATGCAGTGGTGTAATGCACACCGCCACTGGACTTTAGAGCAGTGGAGACGTGTTCTCTGGAGTGATGAATCATGCTTCTCTGTCTGACAATCTGATGGATGTGTCTGGGTTTGGCAGTTTCCAGGAGAGAATGGTACTTGCCTGACTGCATTGTGCCAAGTGTAAAGTTTGGGGGAGGGGGATTATGGTGTGGGGTTGTTTTTCAGGGGTTGGGCTTAGCCCCTTAATTCCAGTGAAGGGAACTCTTAAGGCATCAGCACATAAAGTCATTTTTGACAATTTCATGCTGCCAACTTTGTGGGAACAGTTTGGGGATGGCCCCTTCCTGTTCCAACATGACTGCACACCTGTGCACAAAGCAAGGTCCATAAAGACATGGATGAGCAAGGTCCATAAAGACATGGATGAGCAAGGTCCATAAAGACATGGATGAGCAAGGTCCATAAAGACATGGATGAGCAAGGTCCATAAAGACATGGATGAGCAAGTTTGAGGTAGGGGAACTTGACTGGCCTGCACAGAGTGCTGACCTCAACTCTATAGAACACCTTTGGGATGAATTAGAGCAAAGGTAGCGAGCCAGGCATTCTCGTCTGACATCAGTGCCTGACCTCACAAATGTGCTTCTGGAAGAATGGTCAAACATTCCCATAGACACACTCCTAAACCTTGTGGACGGCCTTCCCAGAAGAGTTGAAGCTCTTATCGCTACAAAGGGTGGGCAACTCAATAATGAACCCTATGGACTAAGATTGGGATGCCATTAAAGTTAATGTGCGTGTAAAGGCAGGCATCCCAATACTTTTGGCAGTATAGTGTACTTAGCTGGGTTTACAAGATGGTTAGGTCTTACCAATGTAGAGCTCTTTCATTCTCCAACACAAAAACAAGGGTACAGTTGGCACACCGATGAGCTTCTTTCAGATTAGCACAGGGGGCCCCAACTAAGTGCGGCATTAATATACTTTAACAAAAGCAGTAGGCAACTCACATGGTAACAGAGTTTGCCAATCAGAAAAGGTTTCATATCGATGGGGACTTTTGATACATACATTTGAGTTGCCTATTGCTTTTGTTCAATAAAGTATATTAATGCTGCACTTAGTTGGCACCCCCTGCTCTCTTGTGTCTATATTTCAGAGATCTCTCCTGTCTCTTTGCGAGCGGCCATGTATGCAGGATATGCATTTACACTTATGGACTTTTGAAATGGACTGTCGATATGCAATTTTTTTTTTATTTGTATTGCTGTATACGGATGTGTGAATGTTTGGGTATAACCTGTGTCCTTGTATGCGCCATATTTTGGTTGTCTTTTTCAAATTAGTGGTACAGCTTCCCACTCTCTGAAAAGCATCCACAGTGGATTGTTTTTTTGAGGGCAGAATAGCAATGAGGCTACCTCTGGAGCACCTGTTTTTTTTGTTTTTTTTTAACTTGATTTTAAAAATTGGCAAACTTTAATTTTACATTGCAGGACTATGCTGCAAACACAAGCTGAGAGTTTGTTTGAACGCAAGGGCCAGTTTGACAGTTGGTGCCACCTAATATACTCCACAACCTGAGGTACAAATGCTGCAGCTATGAAGCAAAGCATCGCGACCACAGCATGTGTACAGCTCTGTCTGGCTCTATTGTGAGGATTTAAGTGGGCGGAAAAACTATGGCTCAACCACCTGTTTTTATACCGCCTCCTGGCCACCCATCTGAGAGAGTCCCTTTTGTTATGTTTCCATATACCAGAGGAGTGAATGGGGTATGAAAGTTAGTTTTCCAACAGTTCTTTGGTTTGGTAAAAAACATTGTTATACAGTGCATCCAGAAAGTATTCACAGCGCTTAACTTTTGCCACATTTTGTTATGTGACAGCCTTATTCCAAAATGGATTAAATTAATTTTTTTTCTCAATATTCTACAAACAATACCGCATAATAACAACGTGAAAGAAGTTGGTTTTGAAATCTTTGCAATTTATTAAAAATGAAAAAAAAAACACATGTATATAAGTATTCACAGCCTTTGCCATGACACTCAAAATTGAGCTCTGGTGCATCCCGTTCCCCACTGATCATCCTTGAGATGTTTCCACAATGTGATTGGAGTCCACCTGTGGGGAATTCAGCGGATTGGACATGATTAAGAAAGGCATAAAACCTGTCTATATAAGGTCCCACAGTTAACAGTGCATGTCAGAGCATAAACCAAGCCATGAAGTCCAAGGAATTGTCCGTAGACCTCCGAGACAGGATTGTATCAAGGCACAGATCTGGGGAAGGGTACAGAAAAATTTCTGCAGCATTGAAGGTCCCAATGAGCACAGTGGCCTCCATCATTCGTACACGAAAAAAGTTTGGAACCACCAGGAATCTTCCGAGATCGGGCCACCCGGCCAAGATGAGCAATTGAGGGAGAAGGGCCTTAGCCATGGAGGTAACCAAGCACCCGATGGTCACTCTGAAAGAGCTCCAGCGTTTCTCTGTGGAGAGAGGAGAACCTTCCAGAAGAACAACCATCTCTGCAGCACTCCACCAATCAGGCAAGATGGAAGCCAGTCCTCAGTAAAAGGCAAATGGCAGCCCACCTGGTCTTTGCCAAAAGGCACCTGAGGGACTCTCAGACCATGAAAAACAAAACTCTCTGGTCTGATGAAACAATGATTGAACTTTTTCAGCAGCAGGAACTGGGAGGCTAGTCAGGATCGAAGGAAAGATGAATGCCGCAATGTACAGAGACATCCTTGATGAAAACCTGTTCCAGAGCACTCTAGACCTTAGACTGGGGCAATGGTTCATCTTTCAATAGGACAACGACCCTAAGCACACAGCCCACATAACAAAAAGGAGTGGCTATGGGCCAACTCTGTGAATTTCCTGGAGTGGCCAGAGCCCAGAATTGAACCCGATAGAACATCTCTGGAAGGATCTGAAAATAGCTGTGCACCGACGCTCCCCCATCCAACCTGATGGAGCTTGAGAGGTACTGCAAAGAAGAATGGGAGAAATTGCCCAAAAATAGGTGTGCCAAGCTTGTAGTATCATACTCAAAACGACTTGAGGCTGTAATTGGTGCTAAAGGTGCTTCAACAAAGTATTGAGCAAAGGCTGTGAATACCTATGTACATGTTTTTCTTTTCGATTTTTATTTTTAATAAATTGCAAAGATTTCAAAACCAACTTCTTTCACGTTGTCATTATGGGGTATTGTTTGTAGAATGTTGAGGACAAAAGTTAATTTAATCCATTTTGGAATAAGGCTGTAACATAACAAAATGTGGCATAAATTAAGCGCTGTGAATACTTTCTGGATGCACTGTATATGCATTTCAAAGATCTAACAATTGAAAATGGGAAATGTAGATATTATGCTGTGTTATGTCTACGGCATGCTGCACTTCTACATGCTGAGAGCTATTAGAGAAAATCAAATCTCACAATAAATTTATGTGAGCTCTCAGTGGTAAAGGCACTATGAATATTGTTTTACCAAAATATATCTGTTTAGGGCTCATTTCTATCAGAACGTATGGGTTAACAGGCATTGGATCAACCGAATAAAACTAGGAAAAGGACATTTATTTTCAAAAAGTGACAGTCATTTTCAGTTTAGTCCAATGAGATTTGAAATGTACATGGCTGAGCCTTAGGTCTGTGTAAAGCTTTGTGACTTGTGCCTAACACTATAGACTAAGAACATTCAATCAGGAGAGGAAATAATATGAGGGAGACCTCCACACTGTAAATTAAGGGTGTATTAATAAAAGAGTTATTCATTCTGTAAAAATGCATGAGCATTTGGTTTGTACGAATGGGGGGAAAACAAATGTTATTAGGCTATTTTCTTTCCAGTTCAAATGTTTTTCATTTATAAGAATAGAGTGAAACAGGAAACATGACCTTTAGATGGAGCAGACAATCATAGTAAATAAGTATTTAAGTGTAATAAATAAACTACTGCAGAGGGCTGGTTCACACCAGATGCAGTCCAGTGTGTTTTTATTCTCTATCAAAAATGCATGCAGTGTTTAACATGGGTTCCATTGGCCCCATTTCACACTAGAGCAGGGTGTTCCAGGGCAACCAACAAAAGTAGAACATTTTTTTTTGTATGAACATACCTAGAACATGTCAAAATGCATCAAAAATGCACCAGTACAAAACCTTAATTGAGATGATAGAAAAGAGAGGGGAAAATAAAACACACCAGAATGCATCAAAAACACATGCAGAAATGCATCCAGAATGCAGAAATTGTGATGTGAACTGATACACAGAACTGATACAATGTTGCACAGACTAGACTCCGCTGAACATCCTCAGTCTTTTACCATCCAGGTATGCCTCATCCACCAGCTTAGGGAATCAGTTAAAGTTAGATGTGTGCTTTTGTTTGTTCAGATTTGTTTTTAGGACGAAAATGTAATTTTCGGAGTTTCGGATGTATCAGAATTTCCAAATAGACAAGTTATAACAAAGTTAAATCAACATTTTTGGATTCACTGAGAAGAGCCAGTAGTTAAGGAGCTGGCAGCTGCCTGCGGGGAATCCCACTGACAGCAGATGAGTCATAGTTGTTAAGGACACGGTGGCCACGTGCTCCTTAACCTCCTTAGCGGTATTCCCGAGTGTAGCTCGGAGTAAAATTTCAATACCAAGAGCGGTAACCCCGAGCTACAGTCGGGCTTACCCTGCGGCGTTGCTCAGGGGGTCCCTGCAGCACTTACCTTGTCCTTCACTCCCGCGATGTGTCCCCTGCAGCGCCCCCAGTCATCTCCTCTGGTCGATGCATTCGGCTTCTGTGTTCCAGTCCCTGTGACGTCGGGACGTACGGGCGCCAAAACCGGCGGGAAATTTGAAATTTTTAAAAAATTTCATTTTTGCTGTCATTGCTGTTTCAATGTATTTCACATATATTTTGTCCCTACTGCTTTG